AAGTGGGGGAGAACTAGTTATTCATGGTGAGAAGGCCTCACATGGGCCAATTCTCTATTCGGCTGCGAGGGCTAGGAGATTTCTGCAGCAAGGATGTACGAGATTTCTGGCTTATATCTTAGAAACGAGGGTTAAGACCACGACGGATGTGGGCAGTGTGTCGGTTGTACAGGAATTTCGGGATGTCTTTCGCGAAGAGTTACCAGGAGTGCCTTCAGAGAGGCAGGTGGAGTTTCGCATTGATTTGGTGTCGAGTGCTGCTCCGATAGCGAAGGCACCATATGAGTTGGCACCACCCGAGATGCAGGAGTTATCTACGCAGCTTCAGGAGCTGCTAGAATGAGAATTCATCTATCCGAGTAGTTCCCCGTGGGGAGCACCAATCTTGTTCGTGAAAAAGAAGGATGGATCACACAGGATATGTAATGATTAACGAGAGCTGAACAAACTAATGGTGAAGAACCTTTATTCGTTGCTGAGGATCAATAATTTGTTCGATCAGTTGTAGGATGCGTCTTGGTTTTCCAAGATTGATCTTCGGTTGGGGTACCATCAGATGAGGATTTAAGATGAGGATATACCGAAGACAGCATTCAGGACTCTATATAGGAATTATGAGTTTGTGGTGATGTCATTTGGGCTCACCGATACCCCGACAGCTTTCATGGATCTCATGAAAATGGTGTCTAGACCAATGTTGGATCGGTCGGTTATCGTTTTTATTGATGATATCCTGGTCTATTCTAAGAACATTGAGCAACATGAGCAACATCTGAGAGAGGTATTGGATACCCTGAGGGTGGAGAGGTTGTATGCCAAGTTCTCCAAGTGTGGTTTTTGGCTGCGAGAGATACAGTTTTTGGGGCACATCATCAACCAGGAGGGTATTTTGGTTGATCCAGCCAAGGTTGAGGCAGTGATGCGGTGGGAAGTACCAAAGAATGAGTCTAAGATATGTAGCTTCTTGGGTTTAGCGGGCTATTATCGAAGATTTATCCAGGATTTCTCCAAGATTGTTGTGCCATTGACCCGCTTGACCAAGAAGAATGTGACATTTCTTGGGGCACGGATTAGCAGTTGGATTTTTATACCCTAAGATGTAGGTTATGCGAGGCTCCGATCCTAGTACTACTCGAGGGGTTAGACGATTTGGTGGTGTACTTTGACGCATCGATTTCAGGGTTAGGCGCAGTACTGATGTAGAAGGGGGCACGTGATAGCTTAAACCTCAAGGCAGTTGAAGCCTTATGAGGCGAACTACCTCACTCACAACTTGGAATTAGGGGGCAGTGGTGTTCGCCCTCAAGATCTGGAGGCACTACTTGTATGGAGTGATGTGCACCATCTATACTAATCACAAGAGTTTGAAGTATTTTATGGATCAGTAGAACCTCAACATGCGACAGAGGAGGTGGTTGGACGTGCTGAAGGATTATGTTTGTGAGATCCTATAGTATCCAGGGAAGGCCAACATAGTGGCGATGCTTTGAGCCGCAAGATGACGAGGTCGCCAATTGGGAACATTTTTATGAGGATGATGGTGATCTCTCCATTGTTGGATATGATCAAGAAGGCCCGGGTCGAGGGAGTGAAGAAAGAGAATTAGAAGGTAGAGCAGATTCGGGGATAATATCCTTTGTTTGCCAAGGATAGTCGTGCCCTTTTGACATAGTGTGGCCGGTGTGGGTACTGTTGACTAGAGGAATGAGACAAAGGATATTAGAGGAGGCACACAAGTCCAAGTTCTCTATACATCCAGGGGTTATGGAAATGTATAGATATTTGAGACCGAGCTATTAGTGTCCTTGCATGAAGCGGGAGATCGCCTGGTTTGTAGAGTGGTGCTAGACCTGCAGGAAGGTCCGAGCATCAGCGACCTCATGGAAAGGTTCAGCCGCTACCCATTACCATGTGGAAATGGGAAGATATCACTATGGACTTCATCAAGAAACTACCGAGGACATCAAGGTGTGTGGATGCCATATGGGTGATTATGGACAGGTTGACGAAGAGTGCCCACTTCATTTCGATTTCTAAGAGTATATTCACTGAGAGTTTGGCGGATATTTATGTACGGGAGGTGGTGGCGAGGTACGAGTTTCCAGTGTCGGTAGTCTTTGACAAGGACGTTCGGTTTACATATAGGTTTTGGAAGAAGTTCCATGAGGAACTGGGCACTCAGCTGCATTTTAGTATGGCATACCACCCCCAGACAGATGGCCAGAGTGAGAGAACGATCCAGACACTGTAGGATAGGATGCAAGCTTGTGTGTTGGATTTTTGGGGTAGCTGGGATACATACCTCCTGCTGGCAGAGTTTTCATTAAATAACAATTATCATTCCAGTATCGACTGAGCTCCATTCGAGATGTTGTATGGACGTAGGTGTAGAGCCACGATCTGTTGGGGTAAGGTTCGACACCGGTTCATGGGGAGCACTGAAGTAGTGCTCAAGACCACCGAACTGATTCAGCAAGTACGCAACCGGCTGCGGATCGCACAAAGCCATCAAAAAATTATGATGACCAACATCGATCGGATCTCGAATTCCAGGTGAGGGACTTTGTATTACTAAAGCTATCACCATAGAAGAGGGTCATCAGATTTCAGAAGAGGGGCAAGCTAGGACCCCGATATATCGGCTCGTTTAGGATTTCGGCCTGGGTGGGCAAGGTAGCATATCAACTAGACCTGTCGGATGAGATTATCCAAATTCACAACACCTTCCACGTGTCACAGTTTCGGATGTGTTTCACTGATGAGTCTGCAGTCGTTTCTCCGGACGACATGCAGGTGGATGAGAGTTTGAACAACATGGAGAGGCTTGTTGCCATCCTATATAGGAAGACTAAGGTTCTTCGGAACAAGGAAGTGAATTTTTGTAAAGGTGCAATGCTAGCACCGCAGGGGCTCTGAGTGGACCTGGGAACCGGAGGGCGAGATGTGAGATCACTACCTGGATTTGTCTGGATCAGCAGACTTCGAGGACGAAGTCTAGTTCAAGTGGGGGAGATTTGTAGCACCTGTTCTAGGTATTATTTGAATTATTTAATTTTAGGGTTTTGGTGCATGGACTCGACGAGTTGGGAGCCTAACTCATCGAGTAGAGGGCATTTCGAGGACACAAGATCTACACCCTACTCGACGAGTTGGAAGGCCAACTCGACAAGTAAGTGTTGTAAAGATAAAACCCTAATTTTAGGGTATGCACCCTATATAATCTCCTTAAGGACCTTGGGGCTGACCTTCCATCAGCCTCCAAACCCTAAGAACATATGTGCTAAACCCTAATCCCCATTCTCTTTCATTTTGTGAGGTAGAGTGTCTTATGAAGCTTAAAAGGAAGGAGATAGTGAGAAGAAAAAGAAGAAGATCCAGCAAATCAAGCCATCATTGTTGAGCTTCACCATCTTGTGGACCGTGGTAAGTCTTCAAGATTCGATTATTATCTTAGAATATGGCTAGATCTTGAGTTTACTCTTCATTTTCCATTATTCCAATTGATTGCATGCATGGGGTTCATAAAGTTCGCAACTTCATTGATGTCCAGGGAAAAATAGTCCCAAGGTGGGCTAGATCTAGCCTTTGATCAAGAAAGGATGCCATGCAACAGTTTTTAGAGCATATTTCCCCCTTTTGGCCATTTTGACCAAAAGACATGCATTAGACATGCATGTCCATAAAGCCTCCATCTTTGGAACGTTTGAGGATTAGAAACTTCTATGGAAAGGAGGGATTCCAGATCCCTAAAGTTTTGGGAATGCATGGCAAGACTTTGAGCTTTCCAAACTTGGAAAAGGACCCTAGAGCATTTGGAGTGGTTATAAAGGGTAAAGTTGGAAACTTTATCCCTCTAGACACCTTAGGGTTCCAGATCTAAGCCCCGGAGTCCCTGCATTCGGTGAACCATCATAATAAGCAAACAGGGAAGGGAACTCGACAAGTTGCCTTAGGGACTCGATGAGTCGGATTGGGTTTACCCGTCTTCTGAATAACAAGTGAACTCGTCGAGTTAATGAAACTACTCGGCGATTTGGCTAGGGTTTGTTCAGGTTCTCTGGACTCCGTAGGAACCTGACGAGTTGCTAGTGCACTCCACGAGTTGGGTCAACATGGACAGTTGACCTTGAATTTGACCAGAGTTGACTTCGAGGGTAATTATGGGATTATGATGAGTTAATCTTATGATGCTTATAGCAAGTTGAGTAGGATCTATGCGTTAGGACTTTTTGGATCTTATCTTGTCAGCACAACATTCGTGAGAGGTGAGTCTCCTTACCATACCAATGGGTCGAAGGCACCAAGGCCAGCCTATTTTGTGTGATATGCAGCATACTTGTTGATTGTAGAGATACGTGTTGCGATAGTTAGTTATGTTAGTGCTTTGGTGTTTGTATGTGTTACTTGCAGGGAAGACAATGGGGGGAGCCCATGACACTTGAATGTAATACCATGTGGAAGAGCCCATTTGTTTTCAATTAAAGATCATAGGGGAGCCCATGACACCTGGGTGTATGACCACGTGGGGGAGCCCATGGCTTTCCAGTTAAAGACCATGGTAGGAGCCCATGGCACTTAGGTATAAGACCATGTGGGGGAGGCCATAGCATCCTGGAGTAAGACGTTGGGAGGAGCCCACGACATCCTTATTTGTTGTATGCATGTCTTATGTGATATGTGTAGCCTTTACGACTAATATGATATGTGTTATGTGGATTGTACGTGCAGTATTCTATGGGGAACTCACTAAGCATTAGCTTACAGTTTATGGATTTGTTTCAGGCACTTCTGAGCCCAAGGGCAAGGGCAAGGCTTGATGGCACGACGTGCACTCTCACAGACATTTTATGGGACACTCTGATGTTTGAAATAAAATTGTAATTGATATGAGCTTTGAAAACAATTGTACTTGAATTTCATAGTTTATGGAAATGTATTTTGGCTAATCAAAAATGAAAAACTTCTTTTGAAAAGTTAGATCGTTACATATGAACACACCAATGTGGAGTATAAGGCTCTTAGACAAACCGTTCAACACAAAGGTGGCTTATGGTAAGGATTTTGTAAATTCTCTATATATTACATCTTCTGTATGTGAAATCATGCTTGTGAACTTATTTTTGTTGTTGGTTTGAAGATGGCCACCCAACATTATTTACCATCAATCTATACCATGGAGGTGAGTTGACTAAGTTTCCTCATGTTCAGTACATTGATAGAAGTGTGAACTATGTTGACATGGTGGATATATACGAGTTTTCAGTTCATGAGTTGGATGCTATCATGAAAGGGTTCAGGGATGGTGTTCCTCCTATGATTTCCTATCACTTCCTTGTGCCTAGTGGAGACTTTCATTTTGGTCTTAAACCCTTGGGCAATGATGATGATTTAGGAACTTTTTCTCAATATGTGCGTGATCACAAAATCATGAGGGTATATATTGAACATGGTGAGACAAAGTTACTTACCTACCTTATGAATCCTAAACATGTTAGGAAGGTAAATATTGTAGAAATGGATGAAATAGATGAAAATGATGATAATGAAAACCATACAACTAAGGTACAAGATTTACCAAGCCCACCTAAATCATCCCCTGTTGAGGCACAATCATTACATGTTGAGGTTCATGATAGAAAAAAAGAGCTTATTGCTAATCACTTTATTGAGGCAGCTACATAATTGAGGTTGGTTTGTATCAAAACATATTACAATCAAATGCAGATGTTGGTGAACATGTACAAGTAGAAGTGGAAGAACATGTTCAATATGAAGTGGAAGAACATGCACAAGTAGAAGTAGAAGAAAATACACAACTTGAAGTGGAACTGGAACATGGACATAAGGCTGCCATGGAAGATACCTTGGATAATTACATGGATAATTACATAGACAACTACATTGAAGATTACATGGAGATTGATATGGAAGGTAACATAGAAAATGAGCATGATAATGGGAGCAAATTTGATGAAGAAGATGGGAGCATATCTGATAGAGGGAGGGTACTCACTATGATGAGGAAGATAATAGTAAGGACGGTGAGGACAGTGATTGGGTGGATGAGGAGAATATCATTCCTGAAGTTGAAGTGGCTATGAGGGATTTCCACATGAGCATTAACACTGAATCAGAGTTTTTTGAGAAAAGACTAAGGGATAACATGGAGAAACATAGAAATCAGGAGCATGAAGATATTGAGTTGGATGTAATTAAAAATGACGAATGGGATTCAACATATGATGATTTTGAGATGAGAAAGAAGAGAAGACGGGTTATAAAAGAATTAGGTATTGAAAAAGGTGTTCTTTAGGAGAAGTTCATAAACCAACATTTTGTATAGTACAAAAATACAAAAGTAAAAAATAGTTGAAAGACAAGATTGCCCATCATGCCTTGGAAACCAGGAAGAATCTTTTTATTAAGAAAAATGATAAACTTATGTTTCGGGCCACATGAAAAGGAAAAGTATTATTTAATGAAGGGCAAGTGGATGAACCTACCATTAGGAAGAAAAGTAAAGGCTAAAGTAAAAAAGACAAGTACTGAACTATCTTGTCAGTGGGTTTTACAAGCATCTAGGCAAAGAGAGGAAGAAAGCTAGTGTGTGAAAACGTACCAACCTAAACATTCATGCCTCAATACAAGAAAAGTAAGAACAGACACAACAAAGTTCCTCTCTAAATAGATTATGGATCTAGTGGACTCTAACCTAACTTTACCAACCAAAGTTGTACAAGAACTACTCCAGAAAAGATATCAAGCGAGCTTCTCCAATAACAATATATTCAGGGATATAGTAGATGACAAAAACATGTGATAGGAGATTACACAAAACAATATGATGTGCTGAGAGATTACATACTAGAGTTGCAGTCCACAAATCCTAACACAACTGTGAAACTGGAACTGGTTCAACAACCAAATCTTGTAAATGCAACTTCAAGATGTTTTTAGAGAATTTATATTTGCTTAGGTGGAATGAAAAAGGGGTTCAAAGCATGCTTAAGGGATTTTATTGGTTTAGATGGGGCGTTTATGAAAGGATTTTTCCCAAGGCAGATCTTGACTGCAGTTGGATTAGATTCTAACAATGATATATACCTATTAGCATACACCATTGTTGACTATGAGAACACACAAAGTTGGAAATGGTTTCTAGAGTACATGGGAGATGATCTGGACCTGTCACAACTTTCAAAATTCATTTTCATAAGTGATAGACAATAGGTAATAGATTTACTTGGTGTATTGTAGTTTTCTTATTGCACTTGTATTATACTAACCACAATTTAATGACTTTGTAGGGATTAATTCCAGCAATTACACAATTGTTACCAGTTGCTGAACACAGATTCTATCTCAGAAATATCTATGAAAACATGAGGAAGAGATGGAGAACTACTGAGTACAAAGATAGGTTATGGAGTTGTGCCAAAGCAACAACAGTGCAAGAATTCAACCATGTGATGAAGGAGTTTAGTGAATATCACAAAGAAGCTTATGAATGGGTGAAGAAGATCCCACTACAACACTGGGCTAGAAGTCATTTCACAGGTAGACAACTCTTGATTTAGTGATAAATTACACATATTTGGTGTATGTTGTTCTAAATTACAATTGTCTTGCAAGTAAACCAATCACAAACATGCTTTTGACTAACCTTTGTGAAGTGTTTAACAGTAAACTTATAGAAGGGAGGGATAAACCAATAATCACATGCTTAGAGTACATTCGGGAGTACAGGATTAAGAGGATTTGGAATGTGATCAAGGTTCAACAGAAGTGTGTAGGTCCATTGACTCCAACAGAAACAAAGATAATGGAAACAAATACAACAAATGCTTCTAACTACATAGTCAGGTGGAATTCCTCAGACAAGTATGAAGTACCAGGATCATGCCAAGATCAATATGTTGTTGACATGGGCCAAAGTTTATGCAGCTGTAGGAAATGGGAATTAATAGGAATTCCTTGTAGGCATGTGATTGCAGTCCTATTTGATAAATCTGACAATGGTAAGGATGTGGGTGAACATTACACTTATGTACACAAGGTGCATTCTCTTGAAACCTGGAAAAAAGCTTATTCCTACAAGGTAGAACCAATCAAAGGTCGTATCATGTGGCATGATAGTGATTATCCCTTGAAGATCAACCCTCCTCCACATCGTAATCAACCTGGTAGGCCCAAGAAGAAGATGCAAATATCCATGGAGGAAAAATCTCAAAGTCAATCTCAGATTCAGAGTCAAAGTCAAAGTCAAAGTCAAACAGCTGGTGCTAGTGGTATAGATGGTCATGGTCCAGGGGGCAGTGGAAAACTCAAAAGGAAGTTCATTACTTTCACTTGTAGCAAGTGTAAAAACAAGGGACATAATGCAAGAACTTGTAAGGGTCAATGAGGAAATTGATGTGTTGACTTGTTAGATTAAGACTGTGTAATGTGTTGTTACTTTTGGGAACCATTGTGATGTTATTTTCGGTGTCTGTTTTATGTTGTTTGATAATTTGGACAACTTTACCCTCCATTTAGAATGATGTTATTTTGGTCATGTAACAAGAATTTGGTATGTGCAAACAATGGTTATTTACTTTTGATGCTCTTTTGGTTATGTTAAGCATTAACAGTTTGTCCCGTCACTGCTCTGTCTAGTTGAACCTAAATATTTGGATGTTTGCAGCAAATAACTTCATTACCCACTAACCAAAATACTACATTCACTTGTATGTCCAAAAGAGTACATTCAAAAACATTGAAATCTTCTTAAATCTACCATAAAAATACCCCTAATACATGGACAAACTTCTTCATAAAATAAAAAAACCAAGCTACATATCAGGTATAATTATAGTTTTGATTTTTCTTCCTTTATTTTTCCAATATCATACTTGAATATTTGATTTTCTTCCTTCAATTTTCCAACTTCAGTCTTTAGCCTGTTGATTGATCTCAGCAACCTGGGTAATATTGATTTTGATCATTCACACATTGGAGGGTCGATCCATCCCACAAAATCACATGTCGAATCCTAGCAAAATATAAGAAGAAATTGAGTGATCGGTGAAAAATCTTCATAACCAACCACATCAATACTAACCTCTTCAGGGCATCCCCAAAAACGTCGCCCAGGGTTCTTTATCAGTCTAAGACATTCGCACTATCACCATTTATGTAACACTCCGTTTGAAATAGAGTAATTAAATAATAAATCCGGAACCCCAATATGTAAATTTTATATTTTATATTATTTTATAATGGCCCTAAATCCGTAATATGTAGCGGTGTGTTGGTTTCGGGGAGCCAAACGATATAATTTGGGCTATCGCGGGTTAAAGTGTAATTTCAGGATTTATTTTGTAAAGATTTCCAGAAGGCAGAGGGTGTTTGGTAAAACATTGGACTTAGTTTGAAGGGATTTTGAAATGCAGGGGGGCTGAATGGTAAATTAAGTACTTAAGTTGAGAAAATTTGTCATGGAGGGGCTGAAAGTGTATTATGAGCAAAAGTATGCATATGAGCGAGTATTAAGTCGTCACCTTCATCAAATCCTAACCCTACTACTACTATACTCAGCTGCCACCTTGTGCCCCCATCCCTCCAGCAGCCGTCACCACCCAACTCCCTCTTGCCTTTCTGACCAGTCGAAGCTCCAAGCCACCGAACGTCCAGCGGCGACCCATGCTGCTGCAAATGATGAAGACTGCTAGGAACTCAGGGACGTCGTCGTAGTGAAAGATGGAGCTACCATTTGCGGTTGTTTACGGTGATGGATAACCACCACCTTCCCGCTGTAGTCACTCCTTCTTCTTCTTCTTTTGTCCCGTCATCAGCCACACCACCAATACCGCCAAACGTTACACCGCCTCTGATGTGAACCGCTATTGGTGCCCGCCACTCTGAGTCGTCGCCGTCGTCAGACACCACTAGGTGGGTGGTTGGGGTTCAATTTCCGAGAAAAAGACGTGTGTGTTTTGTTGGCCAGACTTCACGAAAAAAGCCACCACTACCACCGTGAGGTGGTGGCTATCGCCCTCTACCACCGCCTACCGCCACATGGGTGGCTTAATGTGTGTGTGTGTATTTTATCGTGTGTGTTTTATTTTGGACATTTTGTTGTATGTACATTGTATGGTAGGATTATTCAAGGAAAACAACTCGTCACCGCCGTGAGGTGGTGGTTGCCACCTCACATCACTAGCCACCACCTTGGGTGGTCGTGTGCTTTTGTGTGTGTGATTGTTATTTTGGGATGCTTGGACATTTTTCACGAAAAATCATAACCACCACCACGAGGTGGTGGCCGCCGCCGTGATCTGCCATTAACCACCACTACCCGAGGTTGTAGTGGGTGGTGCCCGACTTATTTATCCCTAATTAATCTAAAAACCTAACCATTTGACTAATTAGCACACGATTGGGTTGGAAACCCTAATTAGGGTTTAGAAAACACTAAATTTGGAAATGTGAGTTTTAGATTTATCGGGACCCGTGTTTAGACCATTTGATTTAGAATTTTAAATTACATCTGACCACATTGTTTGTTTGGACTAATGGAGTGATGGACTTAATGGATTAATTCCTTAATGGGTTAAGTAAGAACACTTAACCCCAATCGTCATTTTATGTTGAAAACCCTAATTGGGTTTGGGTTCATATTGAGCTATTTCTTGGACTAACTT